GATAATATATATAGGTGCAAAGAGTTTAAACAGATAACCCTCTAGTTGTGTTATAGGTATAATATCTAGTGTAGAACTTAGTAATAAGCAGACTACTTCAATAAACAACCAAAAGTTATATATATAGCTAGTTATATTCTCTAAATATATATATGATATAAGTATATTATACTGTAAAAGTTAAACTATAATTAAATAAAAAGAATATGATAAAGAGATCACCTTAATATCAAAAAAAAAGTTTGTTTAGTATATAAAAATATATATAAATATATTTAAACTTAGACTAGTCTGCAGACTTCAAATTAAACTCAGACCAAACTCAAATTTAACTAAAAAGTCTAAATATAAAAGTCTGAGTCTAGTTTGAAAATCAGACTAAACTTAAATTTGACTAAAGTCTAGTTTGAGTCTAATCTGTAGAAGCACTATCAGATTCTATAATCAAACTTATTTTGGTTTTGTTTATCTAGTTCTAGGAGTATATGCTTAATTTAGTTTTGTATTTATGCTTATATTACCAACTCATTTATTTGTATTTAATCATATTAGTATATATTTTGTTGCAATACATGTCTATATGATTTTTGATATTTGTTTTGGTCATAAGTTGTATATATTATATTTTTTTATAGTCAAGGTTAGACTCTTTTGCTTTTTGCTTTTATTAGATTATAAAATCATGTAGTGCTCTTTTTCAAGAGGGTCCCAGACAAGTACATTCTGACAAGGGTATATTCTAACCATATCTGCATCTTTTGAATATCTAATTTAAGTAGTCTGTCTATTACTAAGTTCTATATTAGATGTTATATATATAACCCACTATTATTTAAATTATTCAATTAAACCCTCTGATCTGAATTTTCTATGCCAATTCATCTAATCTCATTCAGAATATATGATACATACATCAGTTTAAGTTTCAAGATGTCATGTGCCACTTATAGGACTACTGGTATAGTTAACCAATTCATCCTTGAGTGCATTATCTGCTAGAGCAGTCTGATACCCACTATTATTATATTACCTAATCTATTTCGATAACTTATACCAAGTTCGAGAACAAGTACTTGCGTGCCAAAGCAGCTACCATTACCTACTTAGTTCTTGTAGAATTTACCCAAACTTTGATACCTTCCCTTTAAGACACCTGGTACCTTCTCTTTCAGTACCTTCTAGCTGGTCTTCCCAGACTACCAATCTAGATAGCTCAGATGGGATACTGGTCTCTTGGTATCTGCACTGCAGATCCTTTTCCTCTGATGATTCTGATAGCCTAGTTAGTAAAACACCTGCCCTCTAAATATCCAATTCTCATCTAGTTATATTAGCCTCAGATGGAGCCTATTCTAGTAACTACTGTTGAAAGTTCATACTATCTCTCTACTTGAGTCTTGCCAAGCAAGCATCCATCTTTTCAGTTCCTTAGATTTATATGAATACAAGGTCTTATCTTAGATTTGTACCAATTAATACCAGCTTGCATGCCTTTATCTAACTTATATATTGCACAAATGCTCTATAATCTTCCAATCTTGTTGATGCTACCAAAGTTACAGAGATCCTGTTCTAATGATCATCAAAAACAGTAGCCATTACAGTATACAAATAAATATTTGAATTTCCGACATCAGTGGGTTTCAAACCTCCAACTTGCCAATATACCACTTGGGAGTGCAATAACTTAATCATTTCACTAAGTCACTATACTCTATGTATTGTATTTTCTGTATTTAATTGCATTAATATTGTGTTGAAGTTGCTTTTTATATTAAATATTATAATATGGAGTCTTTGCTTTAAAAATCACTTTCTGACATTTCTAATTAGGTTAATTTAGACAAAAATAAATCTGAGTACTGGTTCATGTTTATATATTAATCATCTTTTGCTTTTATTGATTCAATAGTTTATTAAATAACTATTGAATCAATAAAGGTAAAAGATAGTTAACATATGAATATAAACTGGTACTCAGGTTTATTTTTGTTTGAATTAATCTGACTGGAAATGTTGAAAAGTAATTTTCAAGGCAAAGACCCCATATCTTTTTTATGAGTTGGTAGCTGTGTTTGTGTATTTGTTGTATATTTGTTGTTTTATATATTTTGTTTCTCACAATTGTTATATTGTTGTTGTTATTATTTCCTATTATATATATATATAATGTCATTATGTATTTTGGTAGAAATAAGCTGTTTTGACTACTTTTTGGTTATGTGTGTTGTAGAAGTAAATGAAGTATTAAAGCGATGTCTTTTACTTTAAATTGTATTTTCTTGATTGTTGTTTGTATTTAGCTCTTCTTGAATATTTATACTATTATCTATTAATACTGTAATTTGAATACAAACACTAGTATATATGTATTGTTATCTTTTAATCAGCTGTTTTCATTAATCATATCTGTGAGAACTGGTTGCTGTATCTAGTCTTTTTGTTGTATTTCTTTTGTTTTCTTGTTGTATTAGTTGTTGTATTGATTGTTTTCTTGTATTTTATATTAATTTTGTCTATGTTTTTAGTTTTATTTAAGTTTTTTTATCTATATTTTTCTATTTATTTGTTTATTTTTTCAATTTTTATTGATTATTAAAAAGTATTTTTTTTATTTACAATTCCCAAACCTATTTTTTTTTTATAATTTGGTAGTCCTGCCACTTTTTATTTGCAGATTAAACTATACTAAAAAAATTATATTCTCTAATAGCAGCTATGCTAATCTATTTATAAAGTAGCTTACCCACGCTTTTACCAGATATGACTTGTCTCAGTAGACTTCAAGCCTCTTTCTAAGCTTTTAATTTACTAGAGATTAGCCTTTGGTCATGGGCTGGTGCCATATATTATATCTAAATTAACTTTCTTTTTTACAAAATAAAATACAAACACAAATGCAAAGAATATAAAAGAAATGAGAAAATACTATGATATTGAGTTCTGGTCTATTTATATCAATAAAACTAAATAAACAAATAACAAAAAAAAAAAAAAAAAAAAAAAAACAAAGATAGTACTATTAAACTCGTGCAGAATTGTAAAAATTATATAATATTACAAATAAATTAGATTAAACTCTATACTAGTTATTTCTATTTGTACCAATAAAACCAAATAAATAATAAAAAAAAAAAACAAAAAAAAAACAAAAATAATACTATTAAACTTGTGAAGAATTGTAAAAATTATATAATATTATAAATAAATTAGACTAAACTCTATGCTAGTTATTTATGTCTATATCTAGGATGTAAAAATATCAAAAACTATCTGGTCTTAAAATAGAACTCCAAGTATCGAAACTTCTAGTTGCTATTCCAACTTGTTAACATATCTTCTGCAATGTTTTAAACATTATCTTATACTATAACTCAAAGTAAACATGTATACATATATATGTTTTTTTTTTTTAGCAGTGATTGTTGTTATCAATCTTTTGATGGAGATATGCTGTTTTTCTCACTTTTTAGAGAAATTTTGTAAAGGCTAAAAGTGTTATATAGAAGAGAATTTTGGTTGCAGATAGCCTTAAACTTCGGTAAAGAACATGTTAAAAACTTGCTTGTTCTCCTTAAACCAACTATCTTTAACTTTATTAGCAAAAGCAAAGCTTCTATTAAAATTTTTTGCATATAGGCACCACCTTTTTGCTAGTTATCTTGTACAAAAATGCTTTTAAATTGTATGCTAAATATACAAAAAAGTCTGAAGAAAGACAAGACAAGCTTTAACCTTTGTAAAAACTGTTATTTATAGTTGTTTCTTTTACTTTTCTCCAAGTTTCTGTTTTCATTAGCCATAAGTTTGGTACAAGTGATCATCAGGATACTCTTTTTTTTTGTTCTCTAAATCTATTTTTTAAAATATTTTATTAGCTATTCTTATACAAATTTAATATTTTTTATTTAAAAATAACAAATTTATATATTAAAAAGATAATAAAATTTTAAAAAAATTTTATTTTCTAATTTTATATATTATTTTAATAAATTTAATCTAATATAATCAGATTCATTGCCACTTTTCTTATAACTGGTTGTATTTTTATATATATAAAATGTTTATTCTAATCAGCCAATAAAAATTCAAGGATTGACAACCAATCAGTAACTTAACTCCCAACTATAGATGCTGGTGAAACTAAATAAAGCTGGTAAAACTGGTGACTATCTAAAATCTGATTGGCTGTTATATTAAATTTCATCTTCACCACCATTCACCAAGAGTTTCACCAGTTTCACCAGCATCTATACTCCCAACTAACCCTTACCCTAATTTTATCAAATAGTCAAAAACATACGTATAACCGGACACGGCTTTAGACGTCCCCTATTCCCAGACTGTAATAAGGCGAAAATTAATTATTAAAATTAATAAGTAATATTTTAAAATAAAGTAAAAAGGGGTGTTATTAATTTAAAGAGCATGTTAAGGAGATTTGTCAAGTATAATTATATTTGTGTAAGTTTATTCATTTCAAGAGTTATTAAAGTTTAAATTTTTATAAATAACAAACGCCTCAGTAAACCGCACCTACTAAGGTAAAATTCTAACGGTATTACTTTATAAAGACACTTTTCATTAAATACCTTGCTTTTATAGAATTAAATATGTTAAATATTACGGGAGGAATTATTTATATCATCTGCACTGTGTTTGTAATTAAACATTGTCGATGTTTTAAAACAGTAAAATATATATATATATAAATATAATTGTTTAAATCGTTTTTTGCCATCTCTATCCTTAAGTTTCGGGATTTTGCATCATTCTTAAACAATCAGATAAATTCTTCGCTTGATATTTTTAAGATGTTTTTGAAGCTGAAATACATATATATTAAAATTTCTTCTTATTGCCGGTAGTCTATCAACTCTTTGCACTCTTCACGCATAGATATTTTTTTTCACTTTTACTTGAGCTCATCTCAGAAAGTGGTAATACCACCGTCTAATCGATAATAACGATATTACCGTCTAATCGATTATAACGATAAAATGTGGAATAAAATGTGGAGTTTGTTTTTAATTTTAATCAATATTTTACGAATAAAAGGTGGTTCGCAGTTTAGTAATTGCCTAGGTAATTCAAATTATCAAGGAATTATTGACTATACAAAAAGCGATCCTGGAATATATAATTATGGATTCACTTATGGTTGTTATAATGGCAAATGTTCTGGATTTCCCAATCCTTTCTCCGAATTGGATATAACTTTTCAGTGCGCTAATATTAGCCAATCGACTTTTTGCATTGCTACCGGTTCCAGTAGGACTGGCGCATATGGAGGTTTATGTGGAGGAATAGTGGGTAATACAATAGCAACTAATTTTTCGAATGCTAATGCTGTGAATGGGTGTCCTTCTCTTAATGCTGTAGCTAATGCTCTATTAATTGGTCCGACTACTGATACGGCTTTCACCTGGTTATGTTGTGATAATTCTTTAAATAGTTGCAAACCACTAAGTAATGTTCCGATAAATAATGGTTGGGCAACAACAAACTGCGGTCATGGTATCTTATTCAACGGTTTAATGTGTTTCGCTGATAATGGTGGTTGGGCATGCGCTGGTGGCCAGAACAATATAGTGGCTGTCAACAAACATCCAATATCTTCTATGTATATGGGCATTAGCTCAACTAGTGTTAATAGTTGCATATTACAACTGGGAGGAATAGGGTTATCTAATAACCTACTTTCAAATTCATCTTCAAACCCATCTAATAAGGGAGATGACAATTCAAGTGCTGTCTGTGAAAATAATAATGTTAAACTCATAGCAACTATTATTCCCTTATGTGCTCTTTTATTTTTAGCTATTATTTTAGTTTTTTATTATCGACACAAATATAAGAGATCGGCATATTCTAGTGTTCAGGAAACCAAAGGCTATCTATCTCAAGTAGTAAAAAGTTCTGGATAAATTATACCCGAACTTATCATCATGGGGACAGGCCTCTCAGAAATTTTGACATTCATCAGAATGATGATCTAAGTTGAATGGTTCAAAATCTCACTTTCTAGTAATCAAATATACGTCAAATTATGCATGAGATTACAATTGATAATTTACAGAGTTGGCATTTTACTATACTTTTTCTATTGGTATATAATTTATATATTCACTTTTTTTATGTAAATTTTTTCTTTTATTTATACTTGTTATATAGTTTATAATAAGTTTGTTTTGAACTTGTGTTGTATCTGTATAATGACAACAGATTTGCAATATAGAATCAAGTACAACTTTTCAAAAATTACTTGCAAAAAATAAAATTTTGTTATTTTTTGTAATTTTTTTTTATTGAAAATTTATTAGTTTACACGTAGTGTATATACCCGGGTATAATTTATTGAATTACAAATTCGTGTAACATCTGTCAAATAATTTTTATAAACCTTCGATTATAGTTAAAGTAAGGGTAGGTTTGGGATTA